CCCTTCACCGCGCAGGGTGGGGTGCTTGTCCTTCGGGTTTCAGTTTTCTCACACCTTCGTCTCAGCCACACAGCGCCAGCATGGATGTTTGTGGTGATTAATCCGCGTCTTCGGTGTCGGGTAGGCGAGCTCAGTGTACTCTTCTCCCAGCCTGCCCTCATTAGGAAGGCACCACGCGCCGGCCAGCCAGTATTTATAGGGTATCACGGCCGGAAAGGGTAAAGTCAGTTTTCTGAAAAATTTACTTATGCAAAATGCCACCTTTTCAGTAAGACTGGATAAATAGTCATAAGACATGTTCACTTCTCCGCCTCTAGGTGCTGTTGCTAGTGATGTTTAGATTTATGCAGATTCCTTCTCCAAGTGTTTCCGCGTGCCTTCCGCCTTCCGGTTGGAGGTACACAGAAAGCCTGGCGGGGTCGGGTGATTTCACAGGTACTGCAAAACCACTGCTTTAAATCAGAAGGAATTTTCCATCGCTGTCTTCCTTTGTGTTCTGACGGAATCCAAATCCTGGAGGATGAAGGGATGGCTGTCTTTTCACACAGTGGTGTGAGATCTTCTGCGGCACGTTCCTCCTTCGTTTCATCCAGGACTATTTCAAGGAACTCGGCAGCTGGAAACTTCCCCAGGGACGACGCTCAGGCTGAGGCATGTTGCAGGAAGCCTGGGGCCACTGGTGCCGCGTGTTTTCGAAGTGCTACTCGCCAGCCGGGACTTCGCTGGGCCCTGGGCGAGCGCCCCCAGCTGCCATCAAGGGAGGTGTGGTTGCCGCCCCCCTCGAGTGGAGACGGCCGCCTGCCTGGCACGGGCTCTCCGCCCGCCCCGTGTGTTCGTCTTGCCCTCCGGAGCGACATTCCCTGCAATAGCGGTCGCTGTCCCTGAAATCTTGCAGGCTGGAGGCCACCTTTCTCGTAGAAGCACCCCACTTCCAGGAAAAGTTGAAAACAGCGAGCTTCTGGAGACACGGGCAGCCTTTTGAGGGGTGAACAGATGCAGTGAGAAGACCGGTCTCCCCCGCCCTCCCACATGGAGGGGGGTTACCAGACGGCACGTTTTTCAGGCAGACGGCAGTGCGCCGTGTTTCCGAGCAGGCGGCCTGCAGCACCCAGGCCCTGGGCAGCCTCAGGCCTCCTCTTTGGTGCCCTAAACTAACTGGAGGCCAGTTCCCCAGGCCTTCGGGGGAGGCAGCCTGTTTTGCCCTTGGGTTTTTTCCTTTTCTGTTTTGTTGCCTAATTTAAGTATCACACACACTCAGTGCACGGTTGGTGCGTGTGTGGCTCAGTAGACCAGCCTGGGGAAGCCCCTGTGTATCTACCTCCTCAGATGCGGCACGCACGCGCCCTCGCGGCCCCCTCACCCCAGGCCACACCTCCTGTCCCCCGGCCCGGGCACCCCTGTTTGTGCAGCTCCCCCGACCTCAGCATGGTACGCACTGTCTGGAGTCTGATGACTGACATCTAGGAGGCTGCGGTGCCCGCCCTCGGCATGGGGGTCCCTGGGCCAAGCAGGGAGCGCTCCTCAAGGAGCAGACGCCAGCTCAGGAGTCGTGGCCAGCAGGCCTTTGTTCCTGCAAAGAGCCTGCTTTGGTTTTGCTTTGCTGCGGGCTTCTGCAGTGAGCTCAGAGTGTTTCCTTTTCCTGGAGGGCGTCTGCCTTAGTGACAGGACTCCGCCCAGGATGGCTTCTGGCTGTTTACAAACACTAAGTCCCACCTCAGAAGACTAGAAATGACCATGCCCGAGATTATTCACAAGATTTGGCCCTTGTGAAGATGAGGGACAATGGTGCCCGGTTTGGAAGAGCACCCACAAACCCGGGCCCCTGTGCAGGTGGGGTGGCCTCGGGAAAGACGCTTTTGCGCTCGCAAGCTCAGGAGGCTGTGATTTATTCCATTCTGTGGTCGGTGTTGAGAGCCTCCCCTCTGGCCTGTGTGCAACCCCCTGTGTGGGGTGTAACGCCGGCCTTTCCGGGCAGCTGTCTGAAAGGCTTTCCTGTTGCACAAACAGCATTAATATGACAGTCTCAGAAATCTCACCCCTCCCTTCAGACAGCCCTCCTGCCCTGTCTCCTAAGAAAATCAATTACTTTTTAAAATTCTCTTTGCTGGAGTCATTACATTGTTGCTGTTAGCAGCCAAATTGAGGGGTACCGTGGAGACCCCAAACTTGTCCTGTCTCAGGGGCCTGGTCATCTGTGTACCCAGAGACACAGCATACGTGTGTGTAAAAGAACTTTGATGCAGTCGGTGTGCGCAGAGAGAAGAAAGGGTGTAGCTTCCCAGCGGAACACCCTAAGTTACCCGTCCTGTGTTCCTCTGAGCTCACCACCCCCCCACCCCTTCCCCCACCCCCTCCCCTGCAGCATCACCTCAGGGCTCAGCTCCGCCTCCACTGGCGGGCAGGGACCTGGCTCCTCCCCTTTATAGGGCAATGCCTTAGAGTGTGATTAAGGCATAAATAGCCTTAAAGTTAGTACTGTAAGTTTAAAATAGACAAATAATTATTCTATCCATCTATTACAATTAATGCTATGTGGTATACCTGTTTACTAGCTCTGCAATTATCCGCGCATAAGTCTAAGAGTCACATGATGTCGCCTGGAGGTGGAGACCTCACAGTGAGGTCACATAACCACCCCCTCATTTTGGGACAGCTTTCTTCCTCCCGTTTTTTTTTTTTTTTTTTAATAATATAATAGTTTTTACATCATTTTATACATGATGTATTTTTACATCATTTTATACATTTTTTTTTGCATCTCAGGTGTAATCCCCATGGGTTTCCCATCACCAAGTCACCCGTGTGCCATCACCGTAGTCCCGTGCACTTCTCTCCCCCATCCCCCGTTTTTGATCCCTCTCGCTCCCATTCTTACCCCCTCTTTGCAGAGAAACCTTCCTGCATACAGACTTCTTTCTTCAGAATGGATTCCCTGGACACGTTTCCAGGAGCAGGACGGCTCTTGTCGGGGGGGTCGCCGTGCGTGCACCACAGGTGGGCTTCGCAGAAGTCCGTCGGGGACGCAGGCGCGGTCTAGCTCTGCTCTCCACTTCTACCACGGCTCGCTGTGAAAGCACGCCCAGCGTCTTAGCTTAGCGTGCGGTGAGTCCTACCTACCGTGTTACTGTGATTTTCAGTCCTTTGGCAGCTCGTGACACTGGACAGGTGTTGCGGGGGCCGGGGAGCCGCGGTGCAGAGCTCTCGTCCTCGGCGCCCGACCGTGCCGTGCGAGCTGGTCCAGGCTGGCCCTGGGCACCATCCGGCTGTGCCCTGCCGCTTCTCGGGGTCAAGGCCTTCTACGTCTGCCTTCCCGACTCCGTCTCAGCCACACTTGTCGGGTCTTCGGCTGCAGCTGACAGCATTCATTTCAGGTTGCTGCAGCAGAAGAGGCGCTAATCATAAAGAGAGTTGGGTCTTTGTGTTTTGGGCTGCTTCTGCCCCAAACTGTCTCTCTCTCACTGGGTGCTGCCTTCCCGGCCTCCGTCTGAGCCGAGCCGAGGTTCTCGACAGCCCAGCCCACTGGCCACCTGTCCCACCTGTCCTCGGCACCCACCTCACCAGTCCCCGCCCTTCTCGCCCCTGCCGGGGCTAGCATGGAGCCTGACAGCGGGCATTTCTGAGATGCCCTTCTCCGAGCCCCACACTCGCGAGATGAGTGAAATCTGAACGTGGGCCCGCTGGCGGCAGCCAGGGGTATGGTTGTTGCACTGACGTGTTTACACGGTGGTTTCCTCCGCCTGTGCCCGTGAGCGTGTTATCCACGTCAGATGCACAGACGCGTTCAGTGCGTCCGTGTCGGAGGGAAGGGCGTGGGCCGGGCTTGGGCAGCTGGTGGCGGCCCGGTCTTGGGGATGGTGATGGCAGGCAGCGCTACGGTGTCCGGGCCGGGCAGCAGTGTGGGCGCCTGCGAGGGCCAGGCGCTTGCAGGACGTGCTGCCCTGCTGGGGCTCAGAGGAGGGAAGAAGGGCCAGATGCCAGCTGTCACAAGGCCTGAGCGCAGGGGAGGGAGAACGGGGACTGGGGGAGCAGCTCTGCGCTCAGAGGAGTGGAGTAGAGGCCCGGGGGGCGGAGTGTGTGGCCAGGGGCCCGGAGAGGCTCCTCCGTGCAGCGCCGCGGCGGATAGCCAAGCGCTGTGAGAAGCAGGCCGGTTTGTGTTGGCCGCACGGGTTTGTGTTAGGACAAGTTGAGGTTTTGCTTGCACTGTGGGGGATGAAGTCTCCTGTGCCCTGTTTCCTGCTCACTGTAGTCCACGTGTGCCTGGCCACCCTGATTTTGAATATCTGCACAGTCCTAAAGCATTAGTCCTCCTCAAAGAATGGTGGCTTGCGTTTTTTCTAGCATCCCTGGAATCTGCCTTCTTCTATCCTCACGCCCACGCCCAGCCCTGCCCTCGCCCCATTGGCCTCCTGCGGGTCCTTGCGGCTCTGGGCTAACTGCCGGCTCCTCAGTGGGCTCCTCAGTGGGCGGGGGGGCCCTGACGCTCTAGCCCTGCAGCCCCTCCAGAGCCAGCTCTGGCCTGTGCCCCGTCACGTCCCCTTCATGGGGCTCTCCGCTCGAGGTGCCTGGACACCCCGCGCTTTCTCAGGAACTGCTTTTGTTTCGCGTCAGTCCTCAGGGACTCCGCTCTGAGATGCGGGGACCCTGACGCAAGGGTCCCCTTGGGGTACTGGGCCTGGCCTTTGGGTCACCCTCAGGCAGCCGCGACGCTCACTTCTCCTCCCTCCCGCAGGGAAGCAGTTCAAGTGCGCGGTGTGCGACTACACGGCGGCCCAGAAGCCCCAGCTGCTGCGGCACATGGAGCAGCACGCCTCCTTCAAGGTAGGGCCCTCGCCGGCCGGGCGGGCTGCGGGCGGCGCCGGCTCCCAGCCAGCAGTGGGGGGGCCCTTCCCTTCGCTGCAGGCCTCCCCCGGCAGCTCCGAGCGTCTCTGGCTGCCTGCTGCCCGGCTCTCTGTGCATAAGCCTGGGGGCGTGAGGGGCGCGGGCTAGGACAGCCCCCAGCTTGCCAGAACGAGTGCAGGAGGACCGTGCGGGCTTGGGACAAGGCGTGTGCCTGTGGGCTGGGGCAGGGGCACCCCCTCTGCTTGGGGGCGCCAACCCCTGGCAGGTTATCACACAGGCTGAAGATGGCGCTCCTGGGGTCCCGCCCCCCCGCGTGGCAGGCTGCCCAGGTGGCTGTCCGTGTCCTCTCTCACCGTTCGCTGGCGCTCTGCTCACGGAGGCGGGGCGGGGCCGGCCACGGCTGGTGCGCAGGCCCTGACAGCCAGTGCGCGGCCCAGCGAGTCGCTTCAAGAAGTGCTGGCTGGGCGCTGGGCAGCTGGACCCTCGAGGTGGGCAGCGCTGGTAGGGAGGCGGGGAGCGGCGCCCTCAGCAGAGACAGAGCGTGGGTGGCGTGGGAGGGGGTGCGCTGCCAGTCACACACTCGGCTGGCGCTCTCGAGCCTCGCCGGCCTGTGCCCGCTGTGCCAGGAGCCCCCCAACGGCGCCTGGGGGCGGAGGCGTCCTCTGAGATGTGGGGGGCCTGGCCCCCAGAGCAGCGCCCTGACCCCCGCCAGCCGGTGTGCTAGAGTGAGTGAGTGTGCGTGTTCCCATCCTCAGCCCGTCTACTCCCAAGTGGCTGCGAGTGAACCCCGCACCCCCCTCTTGGGGCTGAGGGCCCAGCGGCCGGCAGGGGCGGCGTCCAGGCGGGGAGCGGCGGAGCGTGAGCCTTTCCCACTGGTCTTCTCAGTTACTCACTGGGCAGGCGGGGTGGGCAGGGAAACCGAAGCCTGTACCTGTCGTGACGGAGGGAGCTGCCTGTGGTCCCCGTGATGGGTTTGTCCGGGAGACCACGGCTCACTGGGAGCTTCGCGTGTAGGGGGGCGCGGGGCGGCTTCCCCAGGACAAGCTGTGCTGTGTCATTAGAACTAAGCGCCTTGCACAGCTCACAGGTGTTTCTCTGGGGACCTGGTGCCCTAGACTGAGGGCCTCCCGGAGCGCTCCACGCCCCCCCTTCAGAGGAGGGCCCTTGGCCCCGCGCGGTGGCCTTGCTCTCGCGGGAATAGCAGCGGGCTCCCGCGTCACCGTCTTTCCATGTGGGTGTCTTCCTGGGCAGACACAGCTGCCCTGAAATCCTCGTTGTTTTCTAAGATTCGTGGGCCCTCTCGCTTATGTGAGGGCAGCGGGCCAGGGCGTGGTGACGGAGGGTGCTCAGCAGCCTGGCCTCCCAGCCCACGAGTGGGGCTCACTTTAGGCTGACTGGCCGAAGTCGTGTCTCTCACTTGACTGAGCAGTGAAGTCGGTTCCTGCCGGCGCCCTGCTCCACAACAGCAGCAGCTGCTCTCCTGCCTCTGTCACCGCTGTCACCTTCAGAGGCATACTTGTCATCTCAGTTGTGTCGCTCGAAATTCCACCCCAGGCCCCGAGGAGCTAACGTTGGGGCGAGGCACCGCTGTCTTTTTCTGAACTCTGGCGAACACCCACCGGTCTGCCCTTTCAGGCTTCTAGAGGCACCCGCATGCCTTCGGTCGTAGCCCCGTCTTCCTTTCTCAAAGCTGGCTCAGATCACCCCTCAGGACACCCTCTATGACTCCCCTCACCTGTTCCCCTCTTATAGCAGGTCCACTTGGATCAGCCAGATGTGTCCTTATCTTAAGAACAGATGATGGACCTCCTCAGTTCCACCTGTCTCAATTCCTCTTTGCCAGACAGGCATCCAGAGATTAGAAGGTGGACATCTTGGGGGGGGGCGGTGGGAGGTATCGCGTCTGCCCTCTGCACCCCCTCCCCTTTTCTTCCTTTTATATCTACTCTGTGGTAGAAAATATTCATCAAAATCGGAACATACATTGTGTGTCTTCTCCCACACCCCCTTCCACAGCAGCGACAAATATCACTAAGCTCAGGCGTCTGTTTCACGAATCCAGATGAGGTCTGAGAACACAGGCATGCAGGCGCTCATCTGTCGCAGTTGACTTGCAAGAAGAAACCAATTTGCTCTGGGTGATCTAGATATACAATTTACAGGATATAATTTGTGTCGAGAAACCCTGTGATAAGCACAACTCCTGCATTGCCTTCTTAAATTGCTTGTTTTTATTTATATATTTATTTTAAAAATCAAGTTAATAGGTCTTCACTGAATAAGATTGGGAAAATCCTCTTTGTTCTTTCCTTCACATTTAGTCATGATTGAGGTCATTCTGCACATGTGCTTTTTTTTTTTTTTTATGGAGATTAAAATGTCAGTTTTACTGCTGATAAAGCTCTGTTGGAGAATGTGGCTTCCGTGAGTTGCCAGATGGTTTGCTGAGAATGTCGCACTTTGAGAACTAGAGGAGCCTCCTAGGACCAGAGAGCATTGGGCGCCATAAGCACCGGCTTTTCATTTGTCACCAGTTCATAGGCGTGGTCCCATTTCCTGAAAACGCGCTTATGGATACTTCTCACGGCACACAGACTTGTGACTGTGTGTGCCCGGCTGGCAGAGAGGCTTCAGCGTCCTGAGAATCCCCTTGCACTGCCTGTAAAACCACACTAACATACACCATGGTCAGTGCAGTAACTATTCAGAAGCCCACGGCATACTGCTTGCTGAGGCTGGAGAAAGAGGCTCTCTCTCACTTGCTGTCTTCGGGGGACACATGGCTGCATCCCTGAGGAGGTGTTGCTTGGCAGGATCTATCAAAATTGCAAACGCGTGAGCTGCATGCCTCAGCAGCACCACCGGCCAGATCGGCTGTGCTTGCAGGGGCAGAAGTGGGGCTGCGAGGGCTGTTGGCTGCAAATAACTGTGACTTGTGTGTGAGTCAGTGAAGGGCGAGATCAGCAGTGGGCACCCAAACACCGGGGCAGAGGAGCGTGGCGCAGCGAACGCAAGCCCTCTGCTCACCTCTTGGTATAAGCTTCCCTTTGCCTGGGCCTGTGACATGTTCAATTTGCTCAGGGAGTCATTGTCATCTGCTTCCACTCACTGGCACATCCCTTTGAAGTGTGCCTGGCCCCACCAATGTCACTTAACACAGAGAACCTTTCTCCAGGTGCATTTCTCATACGACTCGTCATGAATTCCCGCCTTCTTGGCACAGAGCCAGTGTCTCTCCTGAGGTGCCACCTGCCCGCACTGTTGGGCCTGCCTGGCCCCGGCTGACTCCCTGGCCCAGGCCTCAGGGGCCCGTACTCCCTGGCCCATACTCTCCTCCCTTCATCCTCCCTCGCCCCACTCCCCGTCTGGGAGGCAGGAGATAGCTCAGGGCCCCGGTGCGGGAGGGAGTTTGCTCTGAGAGGTGCTGGCTGCACCGGGAGGAGACTTCCGGAAAGTCAGCCCTTCATTTGGGGGTGAATGTGCAAGTCTGCAGAAAAGTGCAGATCACTCTGAGTTCAGCAGTTTTCAAAATCCGTGCATTTTGGAAACCGTTCCATGTGACTTAATGCTGACCCCTCCTTCTTTCTTAGACCTCCTTCATTTCTGGAACCAGTGGGGCGTGCTCCCCAGAGCTCTGGCTTGGGGAGGGCGATGGGCCTTCTCTCTCTGGCCCACCACCCTTCAGCTGTAGGCGCTTGTGTTGTTTCAAGAGGAAAATTTAAATTCCCTGTTAAATTTGTTTGACATCTACCTAAAATCAATCAAACCTTCAAAAATGCGTAGCTTGAAACTCGAGTCAAATGAAAATCTGTGGTCAAATTAAAATCTACATAAAGTATTTTCACAGAAATATTGAGAAGGGAGATCCCAGTTGTTGGCTTTGTTACCTTTTGAGGCACTTCTCCTTAGTGTTACAGATGGAACACATGACCCCACAACTTGGCATTTAGAGTTTTAAGTGCTCACCTGTATTTTTGATGTGAAGCCTGTGGAAGTTGACTGTGGGTTCCGCTCCCTTTTCTGTACCAGTATGCCAGGAGCCAAGCGGGGCAAGGCTTGCAGAACCCGGCCTCTGTCCTCGGGCTCCCCGGTCCCAGGAAGCAGCCGCCAGGGCGTGCAGGGCTGAGAGAGACTCTCGCGCTGTGTGCTGGGAGGCCCGGCAGGCTGACTCGTGACTGCAACTGCGTGCTTACCTAAAAGGCATGTTTGGTTGAGTCAATACAGTATTATCTCGTCATGTAGATCTATAGTTTCTAACACCTGTGGCATCTGGCAGGCCGTCTGACTGATGTCGCTGGTCACGGGAGTGCCACTGTTCTGTGGTTCCGCATGGCACCCCGGTGCATACCCCGCTCCCCCTTCCTGCTCTGTGCCGTGTGACCGGGAGGGCCTCGAGCACACACCGTGAGCCCGCCTGAACGGGCCATCTCCCGCGTCTGTGTATTCTGGATTTCAAAGCACTTCTGGGGGGAGGAAAGGAGATTATGTTATGTTAAATTAAAATCCCGTGTAATCACGTCCAGTCTGGAAATACTGCATTTTTGACAGCGAGCGATTACCGAGAAATCAATACTCCGAGAGCACGGACGAGTCGGCTAAGCTCTGGCATGAAGAGCCATTAGCGTGGGTAGATTTGCTGTTATTTACTGTGAGATAATTGCCTCAGTCAGGCCATGCTTTGAACCTGTGGTGCCCCCGGTTTTAAAACATTTACCCTGTTGTTTAACTTGCAGTCTGGTACCCGGCCAGCAGGCTCCCGTGGGCTGAGTCAGAGCGGCTGGTAGGGATGCGTGTGGACTGGAACGCGGGGTTGCGCTGTGCTGTCTCCGGGGGTATCGGGAGGGTCTTCTGGAAGGCGCTCAGGCTGGAGACGGGTCCTGGAGACGCGCTCCTCCGGGTGGGCCGAGGCCTCCTAGCACTCTGCTGGGCCTGGACAGCTGGGCTGCCGCCCCGCCACAGCCACCACCTCAGTCTGTCCAGACTCTCACTGTCAGAGCTGGCCCGGTCTGTGCCTGGATGCAGCCTCTCCGGTTCCTCCTACTGGTCCTCTTGAGCACCAGACACCAGACCCCACACCAGGGGCGGCGCCTCGAGAGGAGGCCTGGGCCAGGCTGCCGAGGCCACCCAAGAGGCTCCCCGGCAGGGGAGAGCAGCCGCTGTCCCCTGGGAGGCACCTGGAGTCGAAGGTTCCCATGCAGACGGCAGCCTGGGGATGAGGTTCTCACGTGGGCCCGCTCTGGGGAAGAAGGAAGCCGACACCCCTGCGGCCATGTGCTGGGGCTGCCGCAGGGGCGGCCGGCCGGCTGGCCAGTGTCCCGGCTCGCGCATCTGCACACCAGCACGTCCTGCTCCTTCGGTCCCGCGTAAATGCCGACACTCCAAGATAATGCCACCGCATTGGCTCATTTAGTGATGGGAGCGCTGGAAGATGTTTTAGCTTTTATTTTAGCTTCCGAAGGACAGGCCCCCAGCGCTTCAGACCTCGTATTCTCTGTCAGAGAGCGTCCTCGGCCTCAGCTGGGCGCCCCTGTCAGCACCAGGGAGGGAAGCAGGGGATGGGAGCGGGGAGGAAAGGGAAGAGGAGAAATGAGAGGGCAGCCGCTCCTGTGTGCACCTTCGCTGTCACGCGCTCACTCCCCGGGGCAGCACTGGTCAGCCCAGGGCCAGCGTTCCCCTGGGGTACAGCCTGGGGGCCACGGCTGCACCCCGCCCGTGCTCGGGCACGCAGAGCTCAGAGACCAGGAGTGCAGGGCCGTCTGGGGGGCCGCGCCTCTGGCTCTGTCCGAAGGGCGTGGCCTCGCTGGGCTCAGCGTCCCTGAGCCTCCCCGTGTCCCCACAGCCTTTCCGCTGCGCCCACTGCCACTACTCCTGCAACATATCCGGCTCCCTGAAGCGGCACTACAACAGGAAGCACCCCAACGAGGAGTACGCCAACGCGGGCACCGGGGAGCTGGCGGCCGACGCGCTGCTGCAGCAAGGTGGGTGCCCACGGCCTGCGGGCCCGAGCCCGGGAGGGGCTGCGGCAGCTCCGTTCGGCGGGATCCCGGACGTCCAGCTGGGAGTGGCCCCTGCTCGCCCCGCCTCAGCGGGATGAGCGAGGAGCCGCCTCGCGGAAGTGCTGCCCGGCCGCCCCTCCCCCGCCCAGCCGTCGCTGTGCTGGTCAGTGTCGGGACCCTCTCCCGGGCCTGGCGGCCACAGTGGAAGCCCCCGCCGGACTGCTCGTGGGGCGGGCGGCGGGGCGCCCAGAGGCTCTGCTCCGAGCCGGGGTCTGACTTGGTATCCCGGCCCTGGCTGTTGCACGGTGGGGTTTCCAGATGTTTCTTCATCACAGTTACCATAACGCCACATTAGCGAGCTGCGGGCGAGCTGTAGGCTACCCAGCGTTCACGGACTTAGGAAAGTCGTGCCGTGCTGTTTCCTTTTCCACTGAGCGACCCCTTCGTGGCTCAGGCGCTGTCAACACGCCGGGGCAGGCGCTTGTTTTCCTGTCTGCGCCCCGGGCTTGAGCTGAAGCATTTTTGCCCCCAGCAGCAGGTCTGTGGCGACTCTCCCAAGCCTGGGGCTGTCTGAAGTGGGAGTGGGCCTAGGCCTTAGCCCCGCAAACAGAGACCACCCCGCCCCTGCCCGGGCTCTCCCAGCTGGGGTACGGGGCCTTGGCAGGGCCATGTGAGGCCTCGCTCATGCTCTTCACCCCGAAACGCATCTTTGTGTAAACCAGTGAGCCGAGTGACGGGCGGGGACCCCTGAGCGGCGCGAGACGCTCAGGGGCCGGACAGTGTCCGCCTGGGCCACCGGCCCCGCGGCCTGCCCGCTTTCACTGCCGGGGCTGTGGGAGCCGCGGGTGGGGCCGGGAGAGGCCCGAGCCTGCCTGTCCTGCTCGACCCGCCTGGTTGGTGACCCCGACCCCCCAGGACCTCCGGGTAGAGGGTGGATGGTCCGGGTGGCGCAGTAAAAAGCCAAGGAGCTGGCTGGAGGCTGCCGTGGACCCGTCCCCTGGGGGCACTGGCAGGGCACAGACGTGGCCTGGCAGCCGGGCCGGGGAGCTGATGGGTGACGCCATCTTGCCCGGTGCTTGCAGACTCGCATTACTGCCTGGCAGAAAAGGGGCTGGGTTCGGCCGTTTCAGGCCTGAGTTTCCGGTTGACTTGCGACAGCGCCCCGCAATCAGCGCCCCTTGAAGGGCTCTGGGCTTTATTTTTAGTCTTTGCATGAGTATGTCTGGTCTCGTGTACACACACACGCACTTATACATATCTCAGCTCTATTTCAGATACAAACGTGCACTTTTTTTTTTTTAAGATTTATTTATTTATTCATACAGAACTGGGGTACAGGCCAGAGGTGCAAAGGGCGAGAGGATTCACCAGGGACAGAGTTGGGGGGCAGAACAGGCAGATCGACGAAGTACACTGCTGAGGGCAGCAGCGGGCGGGTCAGGAGAGGTCTGCCACGCCGTGTGGTCTCCTCCGGGGCAGGCGGGCATCGAACTCATGCGGAAGCGGCGTTAGCTTCTCACTGCTGTGCTGGAACCCGCTGCGCCACCAGGGAGGGCCACAAACGTGCACTTTTTATATGCCACAGATACACATTTATTTATATAGATTTAATCGCAGATTGCGCGTTCGTTCGTGTTTGCTTACTGTAAATATGTGAATATAGGGGCTCTCCCTGCTGGTCAGCAGGTTAAAGCACCACATTATGAAGCCCCTGGAAGCCACCGCAGCACAAATGCCATCCCCCGCCAGGGATCTGACCTCTCCTGACCCGCCCGCTGCTCCCCTCAGTAGTGGGCTTCATCTCTCTGCCTGTTCTGCTCCCCATTCTGTCTCTGGCGAATCCTCTCGCCCCAGTTCTGTGAGCATAGATAAATAAATCTTTAAAAAACAAATGTGAGTATACATATCCCAGGGACGTGTTGAGGAAGGAGCCGAGAGACCCTGTGTTCCTCTGGGAGAAGCAGCTCTGAAATCAGAGGGCTGAGTGTGTGTGCAGTTAGAGCACACACGTCTCAGGCGCAGAGCGCGGCCCGGACCCGACACTGCCGCAAACACCCCGTCACTGGCCGCTGGGATTTGTGCGTCACTGTTCTGAGAATTAGCCTCCGTCCGGCGAAGCCGTGTGGCTTCTCAGCCCCGGCAACGTGACGCGGAGCTCCTGTGCGCCCGCGGGGCGCTCCCCGCCAACCTGCCCCCTTTAACCTCACCCCAGCACCCCACAGCGGTGTGCGGCGTGGGGGTGCCTCGGCTCTTCCGGGCTAGGGCCTCGTGTAGCATTTAGGGTTTCGTGGCTTACCACCTCCGCTGTGGCCCGCGTGGGGCTGCCAGTGGGGTGCTGGGAGGAAGGTGCTGGTTCCGGCGGCCCCGGCACAACCTGGTCCTGAGGGCAGAGAGGTGACAATGCCGGCCATGTGCCAGCGCCCCCCTCGACACCCCAGCTGCCGCCAGTGTCCCAGGACTCGGCTCTGGCAGTTAGACCCGTCACTGCACGCTGGGATGTCGCAGCCCCCGCTCATGCCTTCCCCGCTCCTGGGGTTTGGAGGACAGGTCGGACAGCCTCGTTTATGGCTCCCCGTCCATTTCTTGTTCATTAATGCGGGTCTCAAATTTTTTTTTTTTTTTCCCATACAAGTTCACATTTCCATGCTGAATTGCTTCACTGGACCTGCCCCTTCCTCCCCTTAGACTACTGTGGGCTCCCAGGCGGGGCTGCGTGGCGCTCAGCCAGCACGTGAGCGCCCTCCTGGCGTCCCGGCAGGACAGAGGAGGCGCGGCGGGCGGCCGTTTGCCAGGAGCCAAGTTGCTGCGGGCCCTCGGGCAGAGCACAGATGGCCCTGGACCCTGGACTCTGGTCGCCGCGGCCCGGGCCGCCAGCCGAGTGGAGGCGCGAAGCGACTCCGGAGAAAGTCAGGAGTGGCCCTGCGCCAGGGAGCAGCGCCCAGTGCAGCCCCCGCCTGCCACGCCCGGCGTCCACAGCGGGAGCGTTAATGCGGGGCTGAACTGGCCGTGGCCGTGGCCCAGGGGCAGGGCTGCTCCCGCGCCGTTCTCACTCCTTCCCTCTCTGTTTCAGGCGGTCTCAAGTGTCCCGTCTGCAGCTTTGTCTATGGCACCAAATGGGAGTTCAACCGGCACTTGAAGAACAAGCACGGCCTGAAGTTGGTGGAAAGCGAGGGCGACCCCAAGTGGGAGGTAACTGTCTCAAGTTCGGGCTGATGGTGACTCTGGACACAGAGGCCCGCCCAGGGGCAGCTGTATGGGCGCCCCGGGCCTGCTGGCTGGGCTGCCTGCGGGCCGGGGCCGGGGCCGGGGCGGGGGCCTGCCTGTGGATGCTCACTCCGGGGGCTCGGGGCCGGGCCCGGAGCTTTCGGCCTGAGTCGTTCCCGCCTCACGGCAGCCTCCCTGGGCGGCGTCCTGTGGGCTGGCACATTGTGCCTCTCGGGACTCCGAGGCCCCGGCCTCTGCCTGCCCAGTGACCGTCATCAGATAATTACGGGCGCCCGCTAGGTGGGGGCTGGACGCCTGCCTGCGGCTGGCCCCGCGTGAGCGGGTCCCCACCGGCCGCCCGAGCCCTGCCAGCTCCTGCTCACCCGGCGTGGTAACGTCAGCGCCTGCACACTGAGTGACGTCTCCTGCTCGTACGCAGGGGACCCTCCTACTTTCCACCTTACGCTCGCTCCCACCCCACCCCCTGGGGGCGTGTCAGAGTGAGGCTGTGGGGGCCTCCCCGAGGAGCCAGGGCCTGTGAGTGTCCCTGTGTCCCGTCAGGCCCCTGCTCTTCCCTGCCTGAATGTGCCGGGGAGACTGGTGACGTGTGCTTGTGTCCATCTGGTGATGACAGCGCCCAGGTCGCTGAGATTTCCCTGGAGCTGGCACTGTGCGCAGGCTGGCGTGCCCTCCCACGGAGCTCACCCAGCTTCTCCTTACCCTGGCCACAGGCCCGAGGCCCGGGTGCTGCACGGCCACAGCCGGACACAGGGAGGTGGGGGCGAGCGAGGCGTGTGCACAGGCACGCGTGGGTGTGGAGCCTCTTGGGGAGCGGGGTGTGCCCCGCTGCAGCGGCAGGCCTCCCAGGACCGGGCCTCGGGCCTGAGCCGTTGCAGAGAGAAGCCCCCCGGGGAAGTGTGCGCTTAGGGGACAGGCCAGTTTCCTGGGGTGCTGGGCGACGTGATGGCGCACAGCGTCCCTGGGGTGCACTTGCTTCAGCTGATGCCTCATCCTGGGCCTCTTGGCCGCGGGTGCTCTTCTAGAAGGGCTTGGATGACAGTAAGTTCTCTTCAGCCCGCAGCAGAGACGCCCGAGGAGCCTCCCACCCAGTATCTGCACATCACGGAAGCCGAAGAGGACGTGCAGGGCACCCAGGCCGCCGTGGCGGCGCTCCAGGACCTGAGATACACATCCGAGAATGGTGAGGTCGCCAGAGCGGTGCACCCCGAGTGAATGGGCTTGAGAAGGGGGGCGTCCAGCAGCTGCCCTCCGCCTGACCCCGACCCAGCAAGCTGCCCGCAGAAGCACTTCCATTCGGGCTGGAGACCTCCGCCTTGGGAATGTTCTAGAACCGTCTCTGCAGAGGCTGCACCTTGCAGGCCGACTTCCCCACGCGAGCGGAGCCGGCTGCAGAGGAGCGGGCTGCCTGCCCCTGCTCGCAGGCGGGCCGAGTGCCGCAGGCGGGGCTGGCCCAGGCCTCCCGCGCGGCTCAGCGAGAGGCCGGCGGCTCCTGCGAGCTTCCTCAGGGACGCAGGCGGGCAGGCAGTGCCCACGGTGTGAGCAGACCCAGCCGAGCAGAGGGCGCAGCCACGGCCCGCGGGGGCCAGGGTGCCGCTGCACAGTCCTTCCCGGCCCCCATGCGGGGTCTGTGCCAGCTCATTTTCAACATCAGACCGGTTGAGCATGAGCCACAGCACCAGCAGCCTGGTGGGGGTGGGCGTGGTGCACGGAGACATTTTCTTCATGCTCTTCCAAATGGGAACAGACCCCCAACCGGGGGAGGCCCACAGCCCCGGGGGTGGACGCAAGGCAGGAAGCGCGGGGTGAGGCCCTGCGGAGGAGGGAGTGAGTCAGGAGACCAGCACGCTCCCCTTGTTCTGAATCCCGAAGCCCCAGGTGGCGGGAAGACTGCAGGGAACCCTCCTTTGGGCCAGACCCTCCGGGAAGATCAGCTGCCAGGCCCAAGCTGGGCCGGCCCAGCCAGAGGGAGCCGGGAGCCGGCGCTCCCGCCTCCAGCCGTGAAGGGCGGCCCCAGCCCGCTGTTGAGCGCCTGCCCGGAGCCGAGGCCTTGTCTGAATTTGTTTCCTTACTTCATATTGAGCACTTCATGCTGGCTGACACTCTGCCAAGGCCTCCTGTACACACATACACATCGCACACACACACACACAACCCCAGACACGTCCACGCACACACACACACAAGCTCGCTGGCTCCCTTGAAAGCTCTCCCAGCTCCTAGAATTCAGTTCAAACTTAGTGCCCGGAGCCAGGGCTGCCGCCGAGCCAGGGCTGCCGCCCTGAGCTCGCCGCCTCGGGGCTGTGCGGCCTGGGCTGGGCTTGGTGCCCTCCACGAAGCGCCAGGCCCGGGCCTGCCCTCGCCCCGCTCCGAGCCTGTGTTCTGGCAGACGCATCTTCACTGTTCAGGCTGCATGTCATCGGCAGAGGAAAGCCCCGCTTTTCTCACCTGCTCCCTGGGGGACCCCCAGCCCCGTCTGGCACTGGCCGGGAGCTGGAATGATGTGCTTCCAGACGCCTCATAGCCTGGGGGCCCCGAGGAGAAGGGGGGCGGTGTCGGGTCTTTGGGCTCCCGCCGGGAACCAGGACCCTGGCTTGGGCCTGATGAAAGGTGGAGGAGTTAAAATCTCAGTGCGGTAAGTGTTTAAGGTAGACGGTGTGTTTCGGCTTCGGGTGTTTGGAGTCGGCTGCAGAGTTCGTTTGCAGCCTCCCTTCAGGGGTGAGCGTGTGCACACGCACGCACACACATGGGGGTGCTCGGCCGAGCACCGCGCGTACACTGTACCCAGCACAGCAGATTCCTGCCGTCTCGGCCCTTCCGGATCGAGTGTCCCTCAGGGAGCCGCCCGTGAGGTCCAGACGCTGGCGGAGGCGGAGTGGCTGTGCTCACGTGCACGCCGGGGGCGGTTCCCCCGAGGCGCTCCGCAGGTGGAGAGGGTGTGTGGGCACACACGGCCGCCGGAGCCGGGGCCCCAGTCCTTTGAGGTGACTGGAGGAGACCCCGGCCTCCCCTGGGCTGGTGGACCTTTCTCTGGCCCGGTGGGGAGACCGCTGCCACCAGCCGGCTCGGCCTTCGGCTCCTCAGTGTCTGCTCCCGGGGGCGGCCCGCAGCCGGCCAGGGCCCCGCTGCTCAGTCCTGTCCTGGGTTTGGATTCGGAACATCCGCGCTCGAGCTCTGACCTTGGCATGTAATGGCTCAGCGGCCCAAGGCGAGCTGCGTTCTCGCAGAGTACTGGTTCAGGATGGGACGGGCCAGCCTCAGCGGCCCCCCTGGGGCTGGGGGACGGCTGACGGGCAGCGCCTCCCCGCCGGCACGCGGCAGCCACGCTGCTGCCATCCCGTGAGCTCCGAGGAGGGCCTGGGCATCGTCGCAGCACCGCCCGGGAGGGCTGTCTGTGCTGGGCCGGCTCTGTGACCGCCCGCCAGCCCCTGTGGTCCTGACGGGCTCCTCTTTGCTTCTCCTAAGGTGACCGGCTTGACCCCACAGCCGTGAACATCCTCCAGCAGATCATCGAGCTGGGCGCTGAGACGCACGACGCCGCGGCCGTGGCCTCGGTGGTTGCCATGGCGCCAGGGACAGTGACGGTGGTGAAACAGGTGAGGGCCCCCCTGTGCCCCATTTGACCGCTGCACCCCAACACACAGCCCCTTCCAGGCCGCTTGAACTCACCTCGGGTCGGGTTGGGTAGGAAATGGGTCTCGCCTCGCACATCTCCTTATGCTCCCTCAGATGTTCCGGGATCGCGTCTTCAGGAGCCCCAAATGCGGGGTGTGCTGGAGGGGAGCAGTGCGGACCACTTTGAAACTCGGGGAAGCTCTTCATTCATTTCCTCCCAAAGAGCCACAGAGAGGGCCTCGCGCAGCACGATGCACTCACGCCCGCACGTTGTGAGCGCAGCCTTGGATGCAGGGGGTGGGCGTGGGGGCAGCGGACCAGCATGGCCGGCCAGGGGCCGGCCTTCCCCATCCCCGGCCAGGGCGGCTCAGCTGAGAGGAAGGAGGCGCATCTCCTCTCTGTCCTTGGGGCGCCGCTCCTCCCCTGCCAGTTCTGTAATCAGATCGTCCTTCCTGTCTGTCTCCGCCTCTCTCGGCTCTCTCCGCCTCTCTCGGCTCTCTCCTGCTTCATTTTAGCAAAGACTGAAGCCGGCTGCACGCAGACTGGAAAGCAGTAATGCAAACACGGCAGAACCAGGGCAGACCCGGGTCATGGACAGGGCTGGCAGGGAGCCTCCCTCGGTTCCCCAGCGGGTCGTGGGACGGACCTCTGGCCCTGGGCAGAGGCCTGCACGCGGGGTGCTAGAATCACCCCAGTTTGCCTGAGTTTGGTGCTGAGTCACGAACGGTGAACGGGAGGAAGCATAAGGCAGCGGACTTGGGAGAGGGCCGGTCTTCTTGGCACTCGCAGGCGTTTACAAAGCTGGCTCTCGCGTGGGGGCCGAGTGAGGGGGCCCCGCGCCTGCCGCCGATGCATCAGAGGCGTGCACCCCAGTACTGTCTCCGCGCCTGGCCCGCACCCCACGTGCCCAGGGTACCGCGCGGCAGGAAGCGCGGGCTGAGCAGGGCCCTGGGGAGTCAGTACATCCGGGGCAACTTGCTGCCGGCAAGACTCGGCTGGTCCAAGTGCGTGTAGGGAGGCGAGGCAGTGCCCGCCGGCACTGGGCAGCGGCCCTGTGGATTCGAGGGGCGGGTGAAGGGGAGTCCTGGAGCCCTCGGTGGCTTCCCCAGGCTCCGCTGTCCTCTCTACAGCAGCTGTCGGGGGGCTGGGCCACAGGCTGGCCGCGGGTCTTCTCTCTCCCCCCGGGCTCCCCGGTGGTCTCCTCTCAGCCGTTTCTGCATGGTGCTGCCCTGGCAGCCTCAGCGGCCAGGCTCAGGCGCCCACTCACGCATGCCCACGCGATGCTCCAGGCATCGGTGCCCACGCCCACGCCCCAAGCGCTTCCTGCACAGCACAATCGAGGCTGCAGGTGACAGCAGCGGGGCCAGCGGACTCAAAGCCGGAGCGGTCCAGTCGCCCTGCAGTGACCCAGAGGGCCGCCTCCACGGCGCAGCTCCTCTCAGGACGGGCTGGGCAGAGGCTGGCAGAGGCTGCCTCACCTGCAGCAGCCGGTGCTCCGTGTCGGCTGGGACAGATCCGTGGCTCCCAGGCCAAGCACCCCAAGGGCTCTTGTGGCTCACGAGGTCGCCCTCTGCCCTGCCTGTGGGTCCTGGAGGCTCGACCTGCACAGCGCTGGCCCGGCCCAGCAGGGAGGCCCTGGGCGGAGTCGGAAGCGTCTGTCCATCTCATCCCTGCCAGAGCCTCCTGAGAATGGCCGGGAGGGCAGCCCCTGGTGATTTGCGGCCTCCTAGTAGACCTGGATTGATGCACGGCTCCTCCAGGACTAGGCTTAAGTGCGTCTCTGGCCTTGCAGTGCCTGAGGCCGCAGGTGGGGCCAGCTCAGGTGTGATCTGGGCTCAGGC